TTTCTATCTAGGGCGCAACGAAGGTTTGTAAGGAAGTCAATTTTGATTTTCTATAAATATGTGGCGGTGATCCCCCGAAAGATACGCTTCCGGTTTCATTTTCTACTCAGATCATCCTTAGTTAATAGCAGTCAAAGGGGGTTTTAAAGACGTGTTGACAAGCCTTCATTTCTCCATTGAATGATACGCTGTGACGTTTTTATATACATCTGGAGGAAGTGTTACCTAGGAGAGTTTATCTTTTGTGAATAGTCCACTGGATAAAATTAACTGAACTGTTCCTTGCGAAGTGAAAATTGGAAAACTAAATACGAAAAGTCCTGACAAGGAATTTTTCGGTAGCGTTTTACAAGAGTCCTTAAATTCTTCATTTCCTGTCAATTCATTTAATAGGTGGCTAGGTTGGTAAACTTCATGTAAGTGTCAGGGGATTAAGCTTTTGACAAAGTAATTGAAATTAAAGAAAAAAAATTATTACACGAGAACTAACTAAGGCCCGGTTCAAACGTCTAATTTCACATGTGCCGAACTTAATGCAAGAGTTAAATGCATGTGAAGTGGGACGTTTGAATCAATTAAATTCCACTGTTTTAAATTAAATGCGACTTTTACCGTATCTGCGACTGAAACAGTCGAAGATTCGACTCAGGTTCAACTTTTGATTCAAAGGTCGCATCTCACATGTGCTGAACTTAATGCATGAATTACAGGAAATTATCATAATTCATTTATTACCCACAACTCCCCAGGAATTCTATGAATGCCATGTGCGAAAAAGCCAAAACAGCACAAAAAAATGGTGGGAGACAAAGGAATTTGTAGTTCTTGCTTTGAAAAGATAAAATACAGTTGTTTGACATGCGGTAATCATTTTTGTGTGAGGTGTTCGGTTTTTGAAAACGAAGAGGGTACTCCTGGGTGGAAAGTAGGAAACTCTGTGGAATATTGTGGGTCATGTTTCAATGAAATGATGGAACGTGAATCAAGTGAAAGTATCATGATGAAAAGCCAAGATAAAGAAGCAAAAACAAACAGCAAAACAAGAGCATCAGTGAAGCAATTAAGCAAATGCTCAATAGACGTCTTTGTCTAGCAAATAAGTAGTGCACCTGGGAATATCGCAAGCGAACAGAGTTAAATTCAACTGAATTAAATTCGACGTTTGAATCAAATTCCGTATTTAGCTATTTTAGTGGACTAAAATAGGAGTTAAGTTCGGCACATGTGAAATTTGACGTTTGAACTGGGCCTAAAGTAGTGCGCCTGGGAATATTGACAGTGAACAGAGTTAAATGTGATAGAGTTAAATTTGACGTTTGAATCAAATGCCGTATTAACTATTTTAGTCCACTAAAATAGGAGTTAGGCTCGGCACGTGAAATTCGACAGTTGAACTGGGCCTAATTTGTGCTAACTAATTTCCTTGCTTAAAAAAAAGAACTGATCAATGTGTGTTAGCAATGGATAAATACTTTAAAGCTGATCTAAGAACATGCTACACAAATTTTACACTCGTCTATAAAACTTTACTAGTCTTTCATGTAAATGCTTCTCTATACTGTTTAGGTTGGTAGATATTTTTCCTATGAATATCTCTTATGTGAAAAGTCTGATGGTCCTGGCATAATTGGGATTACCTGTAATTCCCCTCTGGCACCTTTTAAATGCTGAATGTTTACCAAAAAGTTTGTTTTGGTGAGATTCAGTGAACATTTATTTAATTTCTGAGAATAAATATATTTTTGTTGTCATGATTGTTCAATGAAACTAGAAAATGAAAACTAAAATGACAGTAATTTCTAAATTAAATACAGTTTTACGGCAATCTACATGTTCTGCAAATTCCAGTAAACATTTGCTAGATTCCTCAAAATACCACCATTTGGAGTTAATTTTAAACTGAAAATAGCTCAGAATCAAGGAAAAGCTATGACAACAATAGTCTGCAAGGTTTTAGATGATAAAAAAGAATTCAAAGTGGACGCTTCAACCCAGAGCTGTAGGTGACTCTTGATAGCCAAGAAGATTTGAAGACAGCTTGGATTTTATGATTGAAATTATGGTGGTTTTGCCTAAACTGTGTAGCTGGCAGTTTTGTGAGCGTTTTCAAACAAAGAATTCAGCATTGCAGCTGGCAAGTAAATTTGGCAAGGTCATGTGAACTTTGGAAGGAAAATTTTTAGTAACATCAAGCCCCAAAACAAGTGGTTAACATACCAGCTGTTACAATTAGTATGTTAATTTAAGTAAGATACTACATTGTTTGTTTACTCATGTCTGATGTTCCCATTCAGATTTGCAGGTTTTTGTCCCTCTCTTTTCTTAAACCTGAAAACAAATTCCTGTAATTTCTTTGTTAAATCTTTGAAAAAAATCTCTGAAAAGCTGAAATGCAAAACAGTTTACTCTGAGTGTTTTTAGGTTTTTTTTTTTGGTGTGTTTTTATTTTTTTTTTCTTTAGCTTTGTTTTGTTTTGTTGTCGTTTTTGTTTTTTTTTTTTTTTAAAGATGCGATATGATTTTTTTTCCAGGCTTAAAAGTGGTGTAAAGTTCAAGGGAATGGATACAGGATATTTGATAAGTCAATACATAGAATATCACTCAAATGGTGGAATTGAGGAAAAGTGGCTTGAGAGGATCTCTAAGGAATTCTTGAGCATTGTTGAACCTGGAGACAGATTTGCATATGGAGTGGATTTTTATAAAGACATAGTGAGAATTGCTCAGTATTTTGATGAGCATGAAGACTTCTTTAAAATGATGAAGGCTGGAATAAACAGTCTGGAGAAATATGGATTGAACTTGTGGAGATTCCCCTGGCGTAAAGAGTACCACTCTGTTAAGGTACCTTCTGTATATTGGTGATTTTCTTTGAATTTTTCCTCTCTGGCACTAAAAGAGGGCTTTGGAGTTTTTTCTTTGGAAATAACCTATGATATGGAAATTATTGGTGACTTTTAGAGTTTTTTCTCTGATTGAATAGTTCCTTATGGTAATGAATGGGCAAGAGACTGCAAAAGATTTGTGAGTTTCTTTTTGTATGCCTTTATGCAACTTGAGTTTGCCCATTTGAGATGCACATTTCAGGTGGTTCTCAAATGTTGAGTTAAAAAATAGTGGATTAAAAGGCAAATTGAGAAGTTCATTTATGAATATTGAAGACTGTGAAAAGTCAGATTCAGCAATTTCTCTTCACAATTTTCTTAATCTGACAAGTTACTCTGCAGTTTAACCCAGTTTTTAAGTCAGTTGTGATTGGTCAGGTTCTGATTGCTAATTCTCTCCTCTTGCTGATACTCTGTTCCTTGTAAAATCACTTACAACAATTTGGTGTTGTATGGAGAGGACAACTTCTACTTGATAAGTTTGAGTACTCTCATTACATACATACATACATACATACATACATACATACATACAGACATAGGTTAATTGACCACTCCTCATAGAGAGGTTATCTTTTGTAAATAGTCCACTGGATGAAATTAACTGAACTGTTCCTTGCGAAGTGAAAATTGGAAAACTAAATACGAAAAGTCCTGACATAAGGAATTTTTCCGTAACGTTTTATAAGAATCCTCAGATTCTTCATTTCCTGTCAATTCATTTAACAGGTAGATAGGTTGGTAGACTTCATGTTAGTGTCAGGGGATTAAGCTTTTGACAAAGTAATTGAAAATTGAAATTAAAGAAAAAAAATTATTATCTGAAAACTAACTAATTCGTGCTAGCTAATTTTCCTGCACAAATAAAACTGATCAATGTGTGTTAGCAACAGATAAATACTTTTTAGCTGATTTAAGAACATACTTCACAAATTTTACACTCATCTATTAAAACTTTACTAGTCCTTCATGTAAATGTTTCTCTAAACTGTTTTGGTACTAGGTAGATATTTTTCCTATGAATATCTCTTACGCGAAGTCTCATGGGTCTGGTATATCTGGTATGTCTGGTATATCCTCATGTTCCTTTTAAATGCTGAATGTTTACCAAACAATTTGTTTTGGTGAGATTCAGAGAACATTTATTTAATTTCTGAGAATAAATATATTTTTGTAGTCATGATGGATGGTTCAATGAAAATAGAAAATGAAAACTAAAATGACAGTAATTTTTAAATTAAATACAGTTTTACAGCAATCTACATGTTCTGCAAATTTCAGTAAACATTTGTTAGATTCCTCAAAATACCACCATTTGGTGTTGATTCTAACCTGAAAATTTCTCAGAATCAAGAAAAGCTATCACAACAATATAATTTGGATATATCAACAAAGTTGAAATGATAAATTGGCCACCGTAACGATTACAAATTAAAGCTGACCTTTTGAGCATTAGCCCTTCATCGGAGCGAATAGAGGAATTGTGGGTTGTGTGTGCTTTTAAAGGCAGAAAATGGAGCTACGTTATTGTTGGGAACATGGCAACGAGAAAAACAGGAATAAATTAGTGGAGTAAAAAGCACTCGTTGATCCCTGTGGGATTTAGACTGCCGGTTTGAAGGATTAGCTTTTGTTCAAGAGTTTTACGGCTTTCCGTGCTACCTAAGTGTAAGGAAAGACTGCAGATTGCCTA